AAAATATTCAAAGCAAATGGTCCAGTAATCAATGAGAAAAGCGGTTTTTTCATAACGATACCAAGAAGTATTCAAATAAGAAGAAGGAGAGTGGCAGCATAAAATGCAAAACGATCGTTATGTCCACTTACGTTTCAAACAACAGCAACATATTGGGTAGCATACAGCATATTTGACTGAGTATTGTACCTCTTGCTGTCGCTACTTCTTCCTCGCTGTTAGCGATGTCGTGTATAGCCGTCGGTATCGGCAATACAAATTGGTGGAATTTGGTGCCTAGACCAAGAATCTCCCTATAAATATCAACCTCTGACACATTTCGTAACAATTTAACTCGCACTTTCATCTAGAAATTTATTATCCTACTGTCCAAATGAAATCAAAGCTTTGGTTTTCTCAATTCAATTTTACAAATATTTTTTTGAAAATCAATACCAGACTGTGCGTTATCTAAAACAAGGGTGTGCAAACTGCGACCCGCAAAGAAAAATTTTGCGGCCCGCGTAGCAGTGACAATTTTGAATGTGTGCCCGCGAAACGAGTTTTCAGTTTAGTTATACTGGTACGTGAAAGCAATTCCAATCTCTTTGCGTCACAAAGCGTATACTAATACCTGAGTGCCACTGTCTTATCAGTAAAACTAGCTAGCAAAATCCTGTTGTAAAATACACAATGTTATAAAAACGTTTTTTGCAATCAATTCGTTTAAAGTCGATGTGACAATAAATTTGAATAGCAGTTTTCAATTTATACGTTTTAACTCAAGATTTCTGCAACGTTGGGGCATGTATTCCGGAGCTTTATTTACGCCGTCGATGATGTTTCCTTTACCAGAGTCAGCAAATATTAACATGTTACCTCATCACATGGTTTTTGACTACAAAGAGGTAATTTATCGTTTTGACTGGATCAAACTGGATCAAACAGAGCGAAGTTTCACATTTCATGCCATAAGGGTTTATAGTATCGAAAAATGGATAGGCCAATCCTTAAAATGGAAACGTTGGTTTCAGATATTAGTTGCATAATAATAATACGAGTTCTCCAAGAATCATCAAAAATATTCGAGGACGTATTATCGCTGCCATCTTCTTGTTAATTTACCTCTGTCTATTCATCGTGTGGTCTTATCAAACATAACAGATTTATTACTCTGTTAAACTGGTCATTTATCTTCAGAGGCTATCCCGACCTCTAAAAGTAACAGTCCATATATCAATTGTATTGACGATAAGTAGGTTTTTCTCCCAAGTAAACCCCCAAGAGACACACGAAAATTACACATAGTTTTTAGATAGAATATTTTAACGAACTTAGATATATACAAAATTCCTCTGCATGGCATGGTTTCGATATGTCATTATTGTTTACATTGGTTTTACACACATGTAGTCTTAATCTTTGCTGATTTCAGGTATTCATCGTTACTTGTTTAAAGGTAATATTTTCAAGTACAAACTATTCAAACAAATATAAATATCTTCGTTGTGACCAAATATTTTCCAAAGGCGATAGTTGAAACTTCATTCTAAGGAAAGTCAATTTTTTTCTGCATTGAAGCCCGGTCGCATAAGATTTTCAAATCAAAAAATTTTTCTCGTTTAGGTTTCTTCAGTTTTTCCACCTGATTCAGTGTTCAACACGATTCTCAAAGAACCCACAACCCAATTTGAATTCGCGTTTCATTACTATAAACATAAAAACATAAAAAAAAGGAATATTTATCAAATCGTTTGAAATAATTGCTGATTATAACAATGCAGACATCCAATTCAAGTTTTGAACGTAAAAACTTTAAATCTCTCCTTTTCCAGGAAATACAACGAATGGCCTCAATTTCGTGAATTTCAAATGGATATTTTAAATAACTAACAGTTAGGGATACGTGAAACTAACTACCTTTTCTACAGCTTTATGCCTTTGCGCAGGGGATCCGTATGCGTATAACCCAAGTATGCTATAGCAAGAGTGAAAATGACTATTCTATTTGATTCAAAAGTCTTGCTGCATACTTATACAAATGTATTTCTGTAACGTTATACATTTGTGTAAGTGTGCAGCAAGACTCTTGTATTAAATAGAATAGATATTTTAAATGTTGTATAAATTTCATATTTCCTTATTCAATATTCACATTGCGGTTCCCAGAGAACAATCATCCTATCTTGTTAATAGAATATCTTACTGTAATTTTATTTTAGCTATTACAAAGGACCCAGTGATGGACAGTTCTGGGGTTGCGGAAAAACAACCATTCTGATTCAACAACCTATCTGATGACAATGATTATATATCGGAATTAATCTCAATAATAGAAAAGAAATTTGATTTAGTTTTGATTGCCGAATATTTCGATATTTCTCTGTTATTACTAAAAGATCTTCTTGGCTGGGAAATGAATGATATTGTCTATCTGTCTTACGCGAGAGAAAAGGATACGGTGGGGCGTTTGATCTTGGAGGACATCGCCCAATATATCAGTGGAATAAAGCTGATGTTGCTGTGTACAAGCATTTCCATAAAACAATCTGGCACCGAGTCAAACAATATGGAAGATCAATGATGAAAAAGGATTTAGAAATGTTTCAGACCATAAAAAGGGACGTTACCATTTTTTGTATTGAGCCCAACATAGACGACAAAAAAAGAATCTAGAATCAAGAATCAGCGATATTGATAATTAATAAAATTTTATGCAATCGTCTATGTCGCTTTGAGATACACTATCATGTATACATAAGGAATACAAATCAAATTTTATATTTCTACCGAAGATTTTCATATATATTTTTTTCTATTTGTGGGTAATAATGATTACACTTCGTTTTTAAAGCGTTTCATGTTCCTTCCTGCAAACAAATCATGTAAGAACATATATTAAGATGCAAGAAGCATTGTTCCTATTATTATTTTGAAACCTTCAAGAACAAGATTATTATTTTCGTAAAAACTTGCCAAGCTGTTCACGAGATATTACAGCTCTCAATAAGGTGGCATAATATGCTATACGCAACTACTAACTTGAACCAACGTTTTAAATTTAATCATTGAAACATAATACTGCGACGGTAAATTTCGCCCTGTTTGATCCAATAATTGATCAAAACGATTTACTCACCTCTGTGTAAATTGATATAGTTTAAACATATATGTACATTGGATCTGTTTTATATCCTGTTTTATATTGTTTGGTTCTTTGTTAAATATTGGACAATATACTTCAGAAACGTTTGTGGCACATTTCTAATCATTAGAATAAGCTACGAACAGTTACAATCTTGGGGTAACATGAAGTTTTGTTCAGGACATAATTCACATTAAACATTTTGAATAAAAACAATATTTATTTTTAAAGGTATTTTGATAAGTTTTTTTTTACATTCACGATATCTAGCATTGCTCTCTGGTTATTTATTATCAGCAAATTAGAATATATATAAAAAAAAATTGTTCCTCAAAACATTTTCACAAAAAGTTTTATTCTTTTAATAATTGAATATTGTTTCTAACTGATAATAATCATGGATGCGTCTTACTGTCGAGGATAAATAAAGCATGGTCGTTAGTAGCCAAACGATGCAATTTGCCGACCTTTCGAATTTTCATATACAGGTAAACTTCATCGGGGCATGATATGGAAAGGGCACTAGCGTATATATATAGAAAAGCTTGAAATCCGATTAAAAAAAACGATAGCATGATTACTTATCGGGCGCATTTTCAATTCGCGTTTACGAAACATTCCATTTGACGCTGGTAGCCGAGCTTACCTGAATAAAATGTGTTCTCGCGAATAAAAATAAACAAGCAAAATGTTGGGTTTGATCGGATTCCTCCTAACACAAGTAGAATTTAGAAATTCTCAGAAAAAAGTTTTCCATCGACGTCTACCATCTTTGATTAAATAAAAGTTTGAAATTGATTACACTACTAGTTTCGGAGAAAGGTGATCTTTCATGACAACCGAAATTATTTAAATAAACTACAACAAAAACATAGTCAACTTTGTGTGTTCAACACTATAATAGATACGTATATAAATTGCTTTTATGTAGGGATGAGCTGTATCCCGTGTTGGTGACGGGAAGTTGCCGCACGTTACCGACTGTTTTGAAACAACACGTATACTTCAAATTTTCTTTTTCCAAACGGTGAAGTCGGTCGGTAGCTCTTGATCTATGAGATGACAGGCTATTCTCTATTCCGTTTTAAGCTGATCACTGACTTTCGTGAATTCGATATTATTTTTACATGTTGGCGTTGTAACATGGCCATTAGGTAATCGGCTAAAAACGTCGGAATTCTGATATTCGTACTCATCAATCTAGAGGAAACAAAGTATTGAAGTCAAAATGTCTCAAATAATTACTCGTGTTATCGTTTCATTTCTGCTCGAGTCAAAAACACAAATGTAACGTGTCAACACAGCACAACTTTTTTATAATGTATGGAATTATTTTCAAGATTTTCAAAATACAATCCGGAATTGGAAAGTATGATTAATGCAATACCTACTTGAAAATCTGAAATCGAAGTTAACAAATTCTTTTGGTAAGAACCAAACTTTTTATCGATTTTGCTTTGAAAGAATTCTAACTCGGTTTCGGGTTTGAATTATTAAGTAATGGAGCGCCGTTGACTGATTATTACTAATAAAAATGATCTAAATATAAATAATATCATTTGTATATGTTGACAATGCCTAATAAACTAAGATGCAAATGCCCAGTCTAAGACATACACGAGATTACCTGCCGCGATTTAATAGTATTACGTCTCTATGATATGTTGCATCATATTAAGAGGAATTAACGTCATGAATAAATTGAAGTCACGCGTTGCAAGCGTCTTTAGCAATTTCCTTTTTCCTACTAATGAGATTCAATTTCAATCAATTAATTCTATTTTTGAAAAAGGGTATTGTTGATTCCCGCATGATTTACACGTAAGAAGAGGAATCACGTTTCGATTTTGTCAGTTTGAAAAACTTCCTAGGAGCGAGCGTTTCAACTTGTTGTGCTACATCTATTTGCTTTTTATCGAGGACTACCAAGATTGTAATGTCTTTATCTGTACAGTCGTATTATCATAATCGCGAAACTCAGAAGACTTATGGGCTGATGACAAGTAATTCTTCCGCAAACACGAAAATGTATCCGCGAAGTAAAAAGGACTTGAACTTACCATCAGAGGGATACAAATCAATTTATTCACAGAATTCAGATGGAACTTCTTGTTACGGTACTGAAAGTTCAACATCATCCGCCGTATGGACAGAAGATAACGATATACTGCACATACCAGCATATATCAAGTATGACATGCCATCATACAAAAATCCACACCCTTCATGGCAACAAAAGGATGGAAGCAAGCGCTTTGCTGAAGGGCAACATAGGAAGAATTCTAATAATAATCACCGAAAATCAATAGGATATGATTCTGAAAACTCTAGTGAAATAAACGACTATAAAGATACAATTTTATCAGAATTTCTCAGAGATTTGGACAAGATTGCTGAATGCCGAATGGAACGTGATGTCAATTCGGAAGACGGAAACAGCGATGCAGCTCATGATGAGGACAAACCGAAATTACCGATCAAACCATGTTCGCAAAGATGGTTTGTTTTAGCTCTTATATGTATATCCATTGGGACTCGATCATTTGTATCTGTGGTATTTGGACAAATCAACGATGTTTTTTCAACTTATTTTGACGTGGGACCCGACGCTGTTGACTGGCTAACTAATACCGGATCTCTTACAACTTTATTTGCCATTATTACTTTGATAATTTGTGGAGGGCGGGCCATCAAGTTACGAATGTTATGCATATTCATGACAGCTACAGCTTGTTTCAGCACGGCTTTGCTGACCGCAGCCATGACGGATCGTAAATATGGTTACATGCTAGGTATTGCGGGACAAGTTGCATTGGGGTTGAATAACGCAGTTGCAATGTCTATCGCTCCAATGATGGCGGCAACGTGGTTTCCTGATGGTCAAGTCGCAACTGCAATTTCAGCTCCTCTAGTTTCTGTCGGGATTGGTGAAGCTCTGGGTTCATATATACCAGGGGTGATTGTCTTTACGTCTGAATTGTTCAGTGCTAATTTTGAGAGTAGTGGCGGGAGCGGTGCGATTGAAACCGAGCTTGAACTTTCTGAAGATACAGAAGCAATAATGCGATACAAACTCGTTCTGCTTTTTGGTATACCAGCTGCTATATCTCTAATAGTTTTAGTTGTATCTTTTGCTGTTTTTAAAGAACGTCCAAAATTTCCACCAAGCGAAGCACAGGCCGTTATACGCGAAAAAAGCCTTTTGAAGCGTCAAATGAATGCGGCCGAGAGGAGTGCTCTGATTTCAGTTTCTCGGTCATCCGTACAGGCTAATTCATTTATGAACTCATCCGGAACTATGCAGTTGCTGAGAAATAATTCATTCATTCTCGTCACCTTCATATACGGCGTTGTGGCTGCGTCTGCCTCATCGAGCATTACTCTTTTGTCCTCCATGTTATCCTATGTTGAAGAAGATGGCACGAATGCTGACGCCTTATCAGGTAGAATAATGGCGATCTTGTGGATCTGCTTTACAGTTGGGCCTTTTGTGACCGGAATTGCATTAGATGCGACACACAAATACCGGGAAATTGCAATCATAACTGTTATTGGATTAACCATAGGCTCTGCTGGAATTCCTCTATCGTTTTATACTGGGAATTTCAAAGGATTATATATATCGCACGCTCTGGTCGGGTTTTTCATGGGTGCTGCTGAAACTACTATGTTTGAAATTGCTGCCGAAACAACCTATCCCGCTCCTGAACTGACGTTTGCGTCCATTTTAAACACTTCATGGGTCATATTTTTTGTCGTATACCCGATTGCCGGCAGAATAATTCTTAACAAATTTGAAATAGGGGAGGTTGCTTCGGCAGCAGCTTCTATCATTCCTGCAATTTGTACCGCCATAGCTGCCTCGGTCACAATTTTATTCTTGAAGCCTACTTACAGAAGGCAAGCTAGCAACCATAGTAAATCAAACAGAAATTCCCAATCAATAACGAATGAACGAACTCCATTATTGCAGAATACGTGAAAGCTGACGTTCTTATAGATGTGTTTAAAGCAGTATCACAAGCATATGAAGAAACCCCTTCGATATTTATTTTTATTTTTTTTTCGAAATTTGAACCCAAAATATCAAGGCCTACAACAAGTAAAACTTATTTAGGTTTCAAGTTCACCCAGTAAAGTTTAGAGTTAAAAGTAACTTATTACCTTTGTTTGCAAATTTTACTGTAATACTGTTAATTTTTATTTGGGAATTTGTATATAGCAATTTTTGTTTTGTGCTTTTCAATGCATTTTTCTAATAAAATGTCGTGATTACTTGATGTAAAGTAATTGTCAGAAATTGGGATATTTTGGGCCTCGGAGATTTTAATCTATATATTCTGCAAGATGTTTTTTCGCTTATAAGTGTTTTTGTTCAACGCTGTATATTAACTGCGCTACAGTCGCGAGTTACCACATATAATGCTGATACCAGCGATGGGAACAATTTGGGCGATTCACTCAGAAATGACTTTTAGCAATTGTTCAAATACAAAAATTGAGAAATGGTTTTTAATTCTATTGACCATTTTGCTAATATTTCCAAATCTATGCAATGCTCATTGGTTTACATTTCACGCAGGAAAAGCTTGGAATCCCCGCTTCTGCAAAAACTTTCCACTTTTCTAGTCATGCCCGAGGCAAATTGTGCATTTTTATTATTCTGTGGGCTTGTGTTTTTTGAGTAAATAAATGAATTCAAAGTGAGATAACAGTTTCATTGTGATGTGTACTGTTTTACTTTAGCATTAGCGCGTTTTCATTAATATTGAATGAAGTTCTTAGTAAAGGTGTATTTGGCTAATATCGGTTGTGAGACGAACTATATCAAATATCAAAGATGGAAAAATCAATGATAATGTTATTTGGTAAAAGTTATAGGCAAATATAGATTGACTTGACTGCAAAAAAATATGAATTTATCCAAATTTAAACATTTCTTGTTTATTAATGTATTAATTCTAATTTTACGATTCAGAAGTTTATTTATTTGTTTGACCATCGTATTCTTCATAGGCCTGTTTCACCATAATTTAGTAACCATTTTCGTACTAAATTTTCAATTGGACTGTTTTTTGGTCCGAACGGCGGGGATTCTGAATGACGACAGGTCTAGTCATTTTTATGTTTAACAATTGATAATATGTCATAGAAAAGACAGAATCGACGGTAATTACAATCGCAAAAGAGGCAGGATGCATTTCTCCCAGATACACATTTTAGAAACTTCTGCACAGAAAAAAGGGGCATATTCTTGCCCTTTATATATATATATATATATATATATTTATAATGGACCTGTCATAAATGTAGTTATGCATTTAATCGTTAATCAGATGAATAGAAGATTATGATTTAAAAGTTAATTTTGCCGTTAGGCTACGTCCATAATCTGTTATTGCCGTACATTATTAATTTTTTGCAGGGCTGTAATTCAGGATAGTCTTTTGAAGTGTAGTACAGGCCAGTTTTGGTCAGATTTCAATCTAAAAATAACACGAGTATATGTAGGCAGGAGGAGTATCTATAAAACGTTTGGTTGCTTTGTAGAAATTCTACGTGCGCATAACAGTCAATAAAATAACTTTGAAAATTCATATAAATATATCACACTAACTTCTATAAAACTTGATTAAGATAATGAATTACATATTATGTTAATCATAGCATTTGTTTTTGTATTCATCACAATTTCCAAACATGCTGCGATAAATCTTTTTTGGGTGGCAAATTTTATTTGAATATTGGAACCCATTAAATATATAAATTCACATCCTGATCATAAAAATTTTACTCACTTATGTTCACAAAATTGAAGGTCAAACTGTCTAACTAAATATTCTTGTTTTATTCATCAACAGATGATAACTTACATTTTTGTATTGACGTTCGCATTTTATAAGAAAGTAATTTTGTATTTGTGTATGCTTCGTTGAACTATAACCAAGTCGCTGGAGTTTAGTCCTACAACTCTTAGAAATAGCTTTCGCTTAGAGCGTACATTTTCCATATTTCAAATAAATTTTAATTCTAGTTAAATAGACAAAGAAATATATGTCTTCCACTTTATTATACACAAATAATCTCTGATTCGGGACGTCGCGACCCCGCATTTGGGGTATGTATTTGTAAGAAAGTAATAGATGAAATAATAGAATCACTATACTTTCCTTTGCATCACAGAAACAAAATGGTCACGCCTTACATGAAATTATTATTAACAACGTTCTTATTTGTCAGTTGCGATACCCTTTCATGCCATGAAGGGATTGATATCGTTTTAGGCGGTATTCCTGTTTATCATTGGGCAGAGAGGAAATGTCAAAAAAATGATGTATGTATTGTACAGAAAATTTCGACACCAATTATTGGAAAGGACATTGTAGATTAGTAATGTATACCACAATTTTTAAACGTATTATATTTTCCAATTAAATAGATAGACTTAGAATTAAGGTGATTCTCTTGAAGAAAATATTTCGTAATATTTAGAAATTATTTAAAGGTAATACTTCATTTGGCTTACATAAAATCTGTTAATTAATGAATCATTTTAATAATCCACATTTATATTTTTGTAGGCTCGCAGCGTAATTAATTTCTGTTTTTCATTATGTTTTAATCTAAATAATAATTATATTGTTATGCAGCTGATGTGAGATACGGAGGTTGCGTTTCTCGTACATTTGCTCAGTTTCTGACATGCGACAAACTTTTTGGATCACAAAGTACATTATCTATGACAAAACTTCTTGAAATTTTGCGTGGATTGGATCGAAAATTTCAAAATTTTATTTTTGATTTTGTATATAATAATCATATTACTCAATTATTTTCTCGTGGAAAAAACGTAAGTGAATTTTTTGATGGGGTGTCTACGTTCCTCGAAAAAATAGGATTTTATAGCAAAGACAATTCTCAATTAATTGGAAATTTTTTCGATAGTGTAATCAAAGGAGATGTGTGGATGGCAACAGCAAAATTGTTGATTTTTCTTGATTGATATACAGCTACTAATGTGCATACCCAAGCTCTTTACAAATCAACACACGAATTGCTTTTGAATATACTGAATCGACCTATACCAAGTGATTTTGACGCGTTTATGAAATACAGTATTCGGATTGCATATTCAGTATCACAAAAATTTTACCTCAATTTGGCTGAAGATTTCAATATTATTTTGGAAGAATTGAAAGTTATTGATATTCGAAAACCTCCTACATCTCTTCCAACTGAAAATGCGGATAAGTTTTTATTTTACCTTGAACTCATTCAAAGAACTTTTGGTATAATAAGTCAACAAAACGAGGTTGCAATTTATAACTTTATGAAGAAAGTATTTTCACTGTATAAAATAAAATACCCAAATATGATCAGGATGACTTTAAAGGGAAAAATCGGTAACCGAGTACCATCACAATATTGAAATCATAAATGCTAAATTTCCTTGCGCTGGAACATGGATTGGATGCATTAGTCCCGGAAGAGCTTTCTTCAGTCATCAAATACATTCTAAATGGAGTCAGACATATGTAGATTATTTGATAAACTTCACTCTATATAATGAAGCAAACGAAAGGGATACTGATAACGATGATATTGACAAAGAAATTGCGGAAATTTTACCAGATTTTCAAGAATTGAATATAATACTATCGGATTTAGCAATAAAAGCTCAACTGAATCCCGGTTATGTCACGTTTGGACGTTTCATTGACTCTTCACTTGAAACATTTTTAAAAATCGAAAGAAAGTTGAGTTCTGATGCCAAAAAGATAATTCGTGATCAATTCTCGCCCGAGTAGGTTCATTTTACATTGTTTCTAATTATGTTTTTTACATTTATGGTAGCGTGCATGTATTTTTGAAACCTCAACATCGCCTTCAAGATGTGTTTAATTTCGAATAAAGTTGAGCGCTCTTGATTACGAAACAAAGCTATATTAAAATGAGATGTTTTTAAAAAGTGACAAAACTGAGATATATATAAATTGACGATTTTTATTTTGTGAATTAACTTACTTTCGGTGGTGGGTAACCTGACGGTGGCAGTCACAACGTACGCTTGTATGCGACTTAGTGATTTGTAACAATCTAATTTATTTCTTCAGGTCATGCACGCACTACGTATGCGATTACGACCTCTGCAATGATACGATCAAAGGGGAATATGGCCTAACGTCATTTGTAACCATCGCAATTGCATTTATTGTGATTATAAATATTCACGCATTTGTCAATGCACTACAACAATTTTGAAGTCATAAAAAAGAATGAGTTTAATAAAAATCGCATTTTTGACTCAGATATGAAGACAGTAGAAGGAAGTCTGAATATAATCACACATTTGAGACTGAAAAATACATCGATTGCTTGAATTGGATTACTTGAACACAGGATGTATTGATGGCGCACTAACATAGCACAATGCTAAGGGGTGCGGAAACTGCGGTTATACGATTCAGAAAAAACTGGAAATTTTTAAATGTGTTAGAATTTTTACTATTTCTTTGACTATTTTCTTTTCTTTCTACTACTAATTTGTGAGTCTAGTGTTAGTCTCGTTTACGCAAAGATATAAAAGCCAGTAACAAAAATTTAAATTTCAACTTTAGATATTGATCGGTATTTAAATTTTGATGTTAGAAATTATACTCTGATTTTAAATTTATTTGATATTTAAATATTTTTTTTACCATGCTGCTATTCTTATATTTTAGACAGAAACAGGAAGTTCAGTTTTAATGAGTATAGTGCATCACAACACATAACATTAACCAGTTTTATCGTTTTCTCCTAAGAGTCATTGATTGAAATGTACTTATACATCAATATTTGCTAGACGGGCCCCTCAAAATAGGATCCGAAGCACATTTTGATTATCATTAAAAATTCACAGCTTTTTTTTTATATTTAGCATAGCATAATATACATGCATTAGCATGAAAATACTTTTCCGTAAGTGCCCTCATATTTGTGTAAACTTTTCGACAAATGATTGTCTTAATTTACTCCCGCCTACAAATTTAAATTCTAAATGATACATCAACTGATTCTCTTTCCTGGTAATCATATATTTTTAATACTACTTTTTATATATGGTACTTTTTCTGTTCCATTGTATAAATATATAAATTCAGATTGACAGGTGTTTCTAAATTTTGAGATAATGGTTTGGGTGAGATGCAAATCGGAGACAGAAGTCTCGAATGGCAACAAGATAACAAATGTCTCCGACCGACCTGTCACTACGCAATAAGAATATATATATGGTATATTAATGCATGTAATTTACTTAAAACTTCTGTTCATAAACAGAATATGACGGGGAGATTTTATTTTCAAATAGATACAACACAAAGATCATACTTGTTTTTATATAACCTGTGTTTGAACTTTTGCAATGCCTAAAAGTGTTATTGGTCGAACGCGTGGATTTGTGTCGGAAATCAATGGTGTGTTTAATTGAGGAAAAATATACAAACTTTCTTTGTTATTATTAATATTATGGTTGTACTTGCCATTGAAAAAAATTTACAATATCTTGCCTGCAATAAAGAAAACCGTCAACTGTCCCTAAGTAAAATACACGCATAAGATATGAATAGGCGTGAGAGCCGTCTGCGGTTCCGTGCGGACAAAGTGGACGTATCCACCTACCTTTCAATGTGAATTGGGGTTTAAATAAAAATTCTTTTTGCATTTTATTACACGTGTGTAAAACTTTAAATGACTTAGGTATAGACAAAGTCGAGACACAAGCATATTAATATGAAATGTAATGCTATAATTTCGGCGATTGGGATAATATGTCTGCACGCATTGACTTTATTTAATCTTAGATAATCACGGCTATTGTACATTGCTTAAAACAATTTTCGTTGTAAATTGTTGCAATCTCAGGTTACTCAGGTTAGAAGTGTATTGAATATCCCTATTACATCTATATAATCATAACTATTATATATGTGTCCATCAGACCCTCCACACAGATATATTGTTAAGGCTGGATATATTTTGCTCTTTATAACTAACAAGAGAGGTATGCTTAAAAATATGGACACGAAATTCATAACAAATTGTTGTACCATCATTTCCTCAAAATTTATACGGTTTTCGTGTCCCACGTGTTCCGTGTGAAATACAATTGTGTGCTGTCCCATCCCATCTCATCCCATGGTACGTTTCCCATGGACAAGCCTGCCGATAATACATGTAATATCCATCTCAATTAAATATAAGAAAAGCAATAAATATCCGGAAATTAACTAAAGGCTATCTGTATACGGAACGAATATAATAGATACTGATATCAATTTTCTATAATGTACACTTTCGAATTGATAATATTAATGAAAATCAGTCAAGAAAATCATCAAGATCATAAGAATTTAGTCTATAATTGAGTTTCCTATAACTGAATTTAGATGCTATAGTGATGGGACGATTTGGTCCGTATCATCCTAGAACTGCCGGCCTAACTGATGTGGTTGGGTTGCAGTTCGTGAAGTAAATTCTGATGATCTTTATATTTACAGTTATATCTTGTATTGTTCGAAGTTAGACCATGATCTAACGAAAGCTCGCAAATAAACTCAATATTTCGTCTAAAGAGATCATGTCATATTTACTTATCACTTTAATATCTCGCTCAAGCATCCTTGTGGCAAGTGCCACAGACGGATCCGAAGTAGAAAGTAAACAAGGAGAAAGGACCTGCAGTTCAATACACAATATCCAAGTTCCCCTAGACAAAAATAAGTTTGTAAAATAAGAAACAGAGAATATGCCGCAAATGATAATGAAAATTTGAAATTTTTTAAATTCATATTATAGTGTTTGATTATCTTCTCTGTATTAGCGTCATGGGATGGGTGATGGATTTTGGTTCCAGGTATCTGTTAAAAAATTTTGCAGATTTTTTCTGCCTGAAATAACAGAACGGCACAATACCCACATGTGTATATAGTTGAATCTTTATAGATTAAAGCAACTAAGATGGAACAATAAGACAATTTTAAACATATTTATATCTACATATGTTATTATCAGTTAGCTGGTTAGGGAGGCACATCGTACTGATGTTTTAAAGATATGGCTGGATACAATTATTCATCTAATTCCTCTTTCTAATCTTCTTCTGTAACAGAGTATGTTATTATCAGTTAGCTGGTTAGGGAGGCACGTCGTACTGATGTTTTAAAGATATGGCTGGATACAATTATTCATCTAATTCCTCTTTCTAATCTTCTTCTGTAACAGAGTATGTTATTATCAGTTAGCTGGTTAGGGAGGCACGTCGTACTGATGTTTTAAAGATATGGCTGGATACAATTATTCATCTAATTCCTCTTTCTAATCTTCTTCTGTAACAGAGTATGTTATTATCAGTTAGCTGGTTAGGGAGGCACGTCGTACTGATGTTTTAAAGATATGGCTGGATACAATTATTCATCTAATTCCTCTTTCTAATCTTCTTCTGTAACAGAGGCGTCAATTCAAGTAATTTCTTCGTTCTTCGTACTAATCATTTGTGCCAGTCATTCATATCGGTCTTCCATATACACATTTCTTCACAAAAGTCAGCTTTTACTGAATGGTATCCTACACAGAATACATGTTATCAATTTACGATCTTGCTAAATCGTATACCAGTTCTGCCATACTCATAACATTCGGAATGCATTACTTTGGCATCTATATTGTTTGATCCATCGATTTTGCTGTTCGAGAAATATGTTAATGAAACGAATAAATATTAGTCATTCCATGGAATGCGTATATAGTTGAATAGAAAGCCCGAAGAATATATAAAGATTTCAGATGGCAATGCGTATAGAAGTGAGTATAAATAATGAAACCCAAAATATAATATAAAAATCAGGACACTCCTGATGTATGCGCACCAAGATGTCGCATAACCCGAACCCTAAAGTGGTATAAACCTAAGTTCAGGTTGGGCGCCATCTTGGTGCGCATACTTCTGGAGGTCCAAAAATAGTTGGACGAAGTAAATCTTTCTTAGTTTTAATATTAAGACGTTTCGCCTTTTACCTTTTTTCAGTCAATATATAAGACAGGACTCTTGTGATTCGATCAGTCTTTATATTAGTTACTAACAAAAGTTTTTTCCTCTGTCTTAATGAAAAAAAGCCTTTAAATCATAGAATGAAGAAATGATGAACAATAGAAACTTTACATTTCGCTAAACTGGTTATGAATCAAGTATTCGCAATGATTGCGTATTTATCGTTTTTGCTTTATAACAGTCCATTCGTTTTTTTTTATATGTAAACATTGCCATCCAATGTTTTTGGCCTCAAAAGAGTTCTATTTTTTCGTTCCTCAACTATCGTCCATATCCATAAATTTACTGTTTACAGGGTATGTACCATACATAGTTCGATTGTTTTTCCATTTTACCTATCGTTTCATCATAGTGGCTGCTATTTTATTAGACCTGGTTTGTCAGCAAAAACCTCAAAATACATAATTGTACGTAAACCTATCTTCTCTATTCTATCTTCCTTTATCGATTTCTTCAAATAGATCTCAAGTTGATTTTTATTTGAAGTTTTCCGCGATTTGAAAAATACGTAATACAAATCTAAAACCTTCAACGACCCAACTATATCAAGTTGTATTTATTTATATACGGTTATCAAACAGCAAATTAATAACGAAACGGGATCTCGCGAACCACGTCATCATCAGTTGTATCTATAAAATATTTAAATGATTTGTCCCTGTCGGAACGGAGGTTGAATACTTAATTTTAATTTAATGATCACTGGATGAAAACTTACTGATGTGGCATATATGAATATATATCGTATCGAAATTATAAAGTGTTTAATAATATTTATGGTATTTATTGATTACAATTGAATAGGTAGCTATCTGCATAAATATCTTTCAACAAGTGAATAAAGGGCCTTATTTGCAAAGCTATTTTTGAGAGTTTTATTTCTACCTTTAATGTAATGTACAAAAGAAAGATTTATAATAATCTTATGACCCGTAAACTTTAATCAGCAATCGTTTTTGCTGTTCGCTGTGTGTCGATAGAGAGAGATGTTTCACTTTTTGAGAGAATTTTAATTTTGCTCGGGGCTATATAACACGCAAGATACCAGGCGAGAAATGTGCAAAAAAGTTGAAAAGTTGTCAAAATCGTTCTCGAAGATATCAGTTTTGCTATTTACATAAGTTTTCCTAGAGGTTTTTCTCTAAAAACACAAATTTATATACAGTATACAAGAAGGATGCTTTTTTCACGTATTGCCAAACCCCATATGCTTTTTCTCTAACATGCACGTATATATATGGTTTAAACTTTTCACAGAATCGTTCAGTCAGTGTCTTGGCTGTGCGTATACCATACTCTTTAAGTATAAATCTGAGATTGGGAATTGAACGACATTACGTAAGACATAGCTTGAAACCCGGAGTATTTTTTTTTTGGTTTTCTAAATACTAAAGTGTTAAGAGACTCGCACGTAATTCAATTGTATTTTGTGCATAAATTGTTTCGTCTCTCACATTATAATATATCTGATATAATGTTTGATGGACACATAATCCTAATTTTTTAAATGACGAAAAATTTGAAATCCGATTCAACTTTTTCGAATGACTTTTTATGCTTAGATTAATTGTCAAATGTGTTAGTTTTTACGTTTGGGTAAAACGAAATAGAAAGTCGACTATTTACAATGCGACATATTTACAAAATGACGCCATGAGCGTCGTTGAAAAGATTACTAATCAAATGAACGACATATTGATTTTATTTGAATCGTACCCTAAATCAATTCCAATTAAACGGTTGTAACAACGGTTTAATCAAAAGATCTAAAAAATTTGTTTTATGTCCAATTATTTTACAGTTAGACATTAGTCTCCTTTTAACGGCTAAAATTGAAATGAAGGTTGTCGTAATCGTTGCACTAATCTGGAGTGCAGTTTTAGGTAAGTGACATTAAATGTATATTACATATATTTTTATCAGATGAATTGCCCGGTGTTCTTGATATTCAAGACTTGGACATAAAAGTTTATTTCATTTTTTCCTTTCATTATTTTTTGTTTTGTTATTAAAAGATCTGAAAATTTATACACGGTCAATTTAGTATTACACGGCAAATCGCATTTCAGACATTAACTTTGATTTATTCTAACTTTTTTTATGTAGTTGCTTTATCTCTGCCCGAATGTATTGGCATTATTTTAAAAATTCCGATGAACGTTAGAAACGTCTTCTTGTTTTAACAAACGCATAAATCTTCTGAAACGTTTTTAAACCCAACAACACCCAATATGTAAAAACGCAAAACTTTGTGCATAATTGGTTTTCTCATGGTAGCTAGCCCCGGAACATTCGAGACCCACAACTTTTAATTTTTTTCAGCTACAAATGAATTGTAGAAATATAAATTTTAGGCAATCGTAGACTAAATATATCAATATTTTAAGATTTAACTGATAAATTAAGTTCCCTGTTTTATTTGTTTTATTTATTCAATATTGTTTATTCAAGTTGCGGGAACTCAACACAATTTCCAGGAAGAAAGACACGACAGAAGGGAAGCACGGTATCCTCCGAAAATGATTTACGGTCAGTAAGAGAGCTTTTCAAAAATTCATTTTTATGACACTTACCTACTTTTAGGATTTATAATTATTAGTAATCGTTTTTTTTCTTATATTACTAGTTTCATAGATAACACAAGGTACGCAACAGACAAATACGAAATCTGATTTGCTACCATAAGTTGGTCTTTGATGTTTTTGTTGCGAGTCACAGTAATAGTGCTAATCTCAGTAACGTTATGCTTGCTTTTTTGACTATAAGGAAACTAACCAGTGACAAATGAGATCTAATATTTTTATCTAACTTTTTTATTACGAAATTTCATTTTATCATTTTGTCTCATAATTTAGAATATACTTCTTCTTTCATTGATTTTTTATTTTCAGTAAATCACCGGGACCGAGATGCATATTATGGCGACCAATATGACCAACGTGAGTTTGTGGAAGTAAAACAAAATATCCAGTGTTTTTGATTTAAAAATGCCACGTATTCTACCGAAAATTATTTAGCCTATTAGAATATTATACTATACAATATTAACGTTGTTTGTAATCGTAATATTAGCCAGAGATGAGACACGACGACGCGGAGATTATGAAAATGTTGAAAATGCCAGAGATGAAGCAGACTTGGTTATGTCTTTCATTAAAACGATCATAAAAAGCATAGGCAAGTATGAATTGTATACTTAATGAAGTCATATTCGTATCTTTACAATATTGAGTTAACTCATATTTTTAATGTGTGTCAATAGCAAATAAATATTTTACACTTGTCCTTTTAGTAAAACTATAGCTGGACATGTACTTGATGGAAAATTACTGGAGTTTTCTCACTCACTTTATTAATATCTACGCACTAAGTCCAAGTAAAATCGAAGATGGTATTGTATTTTGAACACATCCTTGTTGTTCAAAGCTACGTAGAAACTATTTGTGGTTTTCTAATTTGCATTCACTCTATTCATGACAAAAATAAACCTTTACCTTACTTCATCGTTACGAAAATGACAAGCCAAATTTTCTTCCTCTTTTCTGTAGTTTTCAAATGTGGTTTCTAAAATAGTGTTTTACGAATTCTGATAAAAAATGAAATGATCAGGTGAACTATTAAATAAATGGTAAAAGTGAAATTGATAAAAGCATGCATTTTTTTCATTGGGTATATTCCCTTCCAAGATCTGTTCCTTTCCATTGACATGTATATATAGTTTCATATTAAAACATGAGTATTCGATGTGATATGAGTGCAAATATGTTTGTATTGATAGATTTTATACCTGCCAGGAAAGATAACACAAACTGGGATGGATATCAGAGAGACAGACGTATGAATGGAGGAGATAGAGGTTACTATATTCACACTTGTAAAGTAGATTAAAATTAATCATCTTTGCATATTATATGTCGTATTGGTGATTTTGCTATTTTCTTGTTGTTTCTATTGGAACAATCGGTTTCATTTTTTTCTTGTTTAAGATGAAAAAAATTTCTTATCTCGATTTTTAATTAGTTGAGTTTCAGATATAATAAAATTTTGTCAGGATATACAAGTGACAGTAGAGATAATACAGAATGGGATGATTATCAAAGGGACAGACGAATAAATAGAGATAGAGGAGGTGAAGTATATATACATATTTTCGTTATGACTGAAATGCTTTTCTATCTAACTACTGAAACGATCGCTTTTTAATTTTATTTTGTTAGAGATGGAAATGATAATATATATAATATTAGATTTTTAAATTATGTTCTCTCGGTGTCTAACTTATATACACATATTTTTTGGGGGGGATTTATGTAATTTTACCTTTGTATTGTCAGGTTATACACTGGGAGATAATACAGATTGGGATGAATATCAAAGAGACAGGCGAATGAATACGGGGGATATAGGTGACTTATATATAAAAATATAACAAATATATTAATTATCAATTAATTTATTGATTTATTTAAATTTGTCTGATTATCAAAATAATATGAATTGGAATGAATATGAGCGACAGAGACAAATAAACAAAGGTGAATTTTTTAAAAAAACAATATTACTTTGTTAACACAAGCAATCAGATACTTGTAATCAGAAGCAGATTATATTGCATGTTTTAATTAACAGTTAATATGCCCGAACAAAAAGATAGTACAGATTGGGATGAACATGATATGAGCAGACGAATGAATAAAGGTACATATTTTTATTAAATTATGTGTTTATGCAAACTACTGCATTACAACTCTACACAAAAAATAGTAGTAAAGTAAAAATATAAATAATACTTGTATTGCTGAATTATACAGCTGACAATGTTGGTAATGCAGAATGGGATGAATACCAAAGGGAAAGAAACGGGCTAATGAATCAAGGTAATTTGTTTGAAAACTTTCGAAAATTGTGTCTTGGCCCTATTTCCACATTTGTTTATATTTATTATGTATTTAGCATTACTTTCCAATTCTCTATATATTGTTCCTCAGATTGACATAGCTAGTTTAAAACCTAAAAAATAAAATCTCTCTGATATTGCGGTTAACACAATTTTGCCAAATAAAAAAGTCATTCGTTAGGCTTCCACAATTCTACAATTATTGCTGAATAAATCACACATAGAAATATGATGCACTAATTTTTTTTGATGAATTTTTGAAATAAATTTTTGTTTTGTGGGTACCGTCGCCCCCTTACAGCACTTTTCATGCAAGTTCGCCCTATCCGGGCAAATAAAACAAAGCAAATTGCAGAGAAAATAACTATAAATAAATTAAACGAGTAAACTAATAATAGTAAATGGTGCATCTGTCTTGGCGACTTCAACGACTTTTAATATATATTTGGAGATTTTTACGTCAAGTGTTGCTAGAGAGACGATTTCAATGTTACGTCCGAAAATGTTTTTTTTTAACAAATAAGCTTTAAAAATGAAAGAATTAAAGAGGTATCCCTTTATTAAATAATGTCTAAATCTATAACTGGACTAAGGTGACTTCTCCCTAACAGTTAATTCATGACTGGAATACTTTGCGCGTCCAAAATGGATTCTATTAGTTTAAAATATCTTTATTAGTACATCATAATCCAAAGATTTTTAAAGCATTTTACGATCAGCACATAAACAAAAAATATTTACAATAATTTCAACATTCCGAAATGCCCCACTATCGCCCATTCAGAAAATGTTTAAAAGTTCATAACTTTTTAGATTCTGTATAACTTTTTATTTTTTATTTAGACTTTTTGACTAATTTATTTATACTCAATACTTATATTTTCATCTGTAATCTTTGAATAAATAGACTAAGGTAAGCTTCATTAAAAGTAATTAATTGTCCGTTTCAGTGCAATCGTATGTTCCGAATAAAAAATTTGGGCAGAACAATTATAACCATGGATCAGTCGAACAAATTTATAATTGGCAAAGCTCAAAAAGTGACAGAATGAGAGAAAATAATGAAGATGGGTACGGCAGTAGTTATACCAGCAAGGTGAATAGAAGAGACAGCGAAATGCACTCGCAAGATTATCAGTACGGAAGAAATGCAGCAGAATGGAACAAACAGACTGATCAGCAAGATCGTGATATTTTCGTTGAATATGACGAGTATCCTAGTCGTGATTATTATGAAAATTCCGAAGACTACAAAACAAGAAATTGGATCATGCCAGACGACCTGTGGGACAATGTAAACAGTGAAAGGTATCTTTCCCTTAGTGACGACGGTACCAGATTGAGTGACTGGATCGGAGAACTGAGCGTATGGAAGACTGTTATGGATGGATGGCATGAAGTAATGCAAGGATGGGTAAGGTTAATGGGTGAATGGAACAAATTGATGAATGGATCATTTGTCGGTTGGAGTGGAGAGTCAAGGTACAGCGATGAGAATGATGGACAAAGTAGTGACAAATATCAAACTACCAATCCTAGTAGAATGAGCACGTTCAAAGGCGTAAACACTGAAAATCACGAAAATAGCGGCGGACAAAAAAGTTCATCAAATCGTATCACCGGTACAGAAAATAGGTATGTCTGGGTGGATGATATGGCAACTTCAGATAGCGCAGATGGTGTCGGCGACGGATGGTCAGAATAATAAGATGAAAACTAAATACTGTACTAGTGTACTATTGTATTTAGCAGTTGCTTTCAAGCTTTAGTACGACTCCAAATCATAAAAAGTTTCTGATATATATAAATATAAAAAAAAATTTTAAAAATAAATAACGCATTTTTTGCCCCAATCGCATATATCGTTTTAACTGGCTTATATTTAGTAACATTCAACTTCGTGCATTTGTCTAAATAGGGTCGTCCCATTTATTTTAGGCACCATTTGGGGAAAAAAGGATGAGTTTCCCTATGAATAACTGTGCCTGCCCAAATAAATACTTGGTGTATTTTTGACATTTTGAGTTGAATATTGTTGATAAATCCGAAATTTTTAGAAAAATTTTCTGTAAAATAGATCTTTAAATGTTAATAAATATTGTGCTGCATGAGTCTATATTTTCAATCAAGATTTGCTATTTTGGGTAGAAAATCTATTTGTATAGGGAAATGCAAGATTACATAGCACCTTCTTCAATTAGATTACAGAAAAAATGATTAAACTAACGCAATTTCAGCTGTTCACCGTAAATACACAGTAGTTGATAGAGGGGGTAACGTGTGAGCATCTTACAACAAAAGGTAAATGGCAGAGAGTTCCAACCGTTAGCCACATATTGTGAAAATACTGAAATCGAAACAGAACTAGAACATGACAAATTTCCGAAAATGTAACCAATGCAAAAATATGTTCATATGAGCGACGACTCCTGCATATAATATGTCATATTCAGAAAGCTATGAATTAATTTTTCTTAGTGGTTGGGAGTAAAGGGCAAAGAATAAAGGTCAAACGGCAAGAACATAAAATGACGATAATTGAAAATTGTCTAACCTTATAAAGTTGTGATGTTATTTTGTGATTATGGATTCCCGGAAATGTCTGGAAAATGTATCCTTTTTCTCCCATTCTTCAGCACGATTCTCGCGTTTTTATTTAAACCGCAACGATAAATGAAATAACACATCTGCGTTACGTTGTTGTTGAAGATTTGAATTTAAAAAAATTACCTGCACAGATATCTCTCCAAATAGAATAAGGTTATCTGACGCAGAAAACATGTCTAACAACATTTCAGATTCTACCCATAAACATACTTCTCGAATCACTGCAAAAACGAACAGTAGGGGCAAAATATAAATCAGTTGTAGAATGCGTAAGTTACTAATAGCTTTGAGTGAAAAACAATATCCAATAGAATATAAATAACATCAATAATATAAGTGGTTTGTCGATATAAATTCGTTTACTTTATTGGCATGGATCGATAGAATTTACAAATTCATTTATACACATTTGACTCGATATAAGATTAACAGTTTTACTCCTTCCACGCAAGAAATTACAAAATATTTTTTCATTACACTATCAAAAATATTCAAAGAAAAAATAATAAAGATGCTTATATCAGCCTTTAGTTGAACCCATCTATGTTACCTTCTGACACTAAATCAAATGTTTAAACATTACGAAACACTATTATGAAAGTTGCAATAAGGGTTATACAAAACCGATTATGAACTTTGTGTTGTTAATATTTCACATCCTCATCGGATCAAATTCTGTGGTTGTGCAGGTGCTTATTTAAATAAATTGCACGTACTTTATATATAATTCTTGCTTTCCGAGTAAGTACAAACAAATTGATCGAAGACATTTGTTATCTCTTTGCCATCGGAGACTATTGTCCCCTACGTGTCTGTTATCCAACCCATTATCTCAAATTTTTGAAACGTCTGTATATTTGATATTGAAATAAAAGCTCTACAGAAAATAATAATATATTAAAATGAGATACATGATATGTATATTAGGCAAATTATATTTTGTAATTTGAAGACTATCCATTGTATAAATTGGTAATTTGATTCATTCCATCCGTTTTCATTACAAACAATTGTTGTCATTATTGCATGTTAACATTATTATATGCCATCGAGGGTTCATCTATAAAGTATCGGAGACGTGTACTAAAAGTCGATCAAACGAATAATGTCAATCACGATTATGTTATTTTATATTTCAGAAGTTTCAAATATTACTGGCTCAACGTTTTATGTAGAGTGCTGTTTAGTTTACGACGACGCATTACAAAAGAATCCAACTTAGCATACAGAGTTATTATACGTTTGCTGGATTTAACCCATATATTCAAAAACATGCAGAGCGCACTAAATGCATTCTGATTTAATTTATATGATTGTTAATATCTATACACATATTCATAAGTATGAATCAGAATTGACACAGTCAAAAGTTCTTTAAGAATACTAAATTTTAATAAACATTACTTTGTTTTTCACAAATTCGGTCTATAATTAGGCAACCGTTAGAAATTAATTGTTTAGAGGTGAGCGAGCACGTGCCACTCCTTTTCGGCTAAAACCCTCATATAGATTCTGGATTCGGATAGAATTTACAATGTCGGATATGGGTTTAGTTGGTCAGTTATTTGCTTCAGATGGACTTAATTTTGGGGAGGGCTTAATGACCAGCGATTATGTGAACCACCCCACGGCGGCGGGAGTCCAACAACCCTCTTCTCTGTAAAATGCTGCGTTTCCTATAATCAGTGTATTCATTTATTTGTTTTTACCAATCATTTTATCTTCTGTTATGCTGATCATGGAGTCGAAATAAACTTATATTATTTGTCCGGGTGGAGAGTTTTCTGTTTTAAAACGCAGAGGGCCTGGAGGACGGGCATAACTTAAAGACAAAGTTAAAAACGTGAAAATACGCGTCCGTCCTCCAAAAACAGTCAAATAACACAATAAAATAAAATGACACGATACAGAATCGGGCAATAACTTCAAATAAATCGATTTAATTACGCAAACACTGTCACACTCTCTGTACCTGTCCGCACTCTAAAACTTCATGTGACCTATTTAACACCACGACCTGCATTATGAACTTTAGAAAAATCAATTGCCTTAATCGCACGTATACATTTTATTTCTATTTTTAACCATATTTCATCGCCAATGCTTTTTTTATTGGACTGATTTCTTACAGCACGGGTCAGGCGCCTCGGTGACATAACCGGTCTTGTATATCGACGCTCACAAATAATGATAATCAATTATCACTGAATTATTATTTTTTGTTTATGTTGCTTCAAATGTTCTACAGTGTTGACATTATTTGTGTAACGAAATCTCTCTGTCTTGCAGCCGTACTAATAAAATTACATCTTCTTTCAAATGTGAAATGGTCCCCATGAAAAGATAATTGTTAAGAGTTAAACCTTTCTCCGTTTTTTACTTGGGAGAAATGTGAGCGTTGCTATGAAACTTAGCTGATCAATCTACAAACAAAATCATAATTCATGAAAAAGCACATGATATATTTGACAGCTCAAACAAATTCAATCTTGGAAGAAAATAGTATGGTAATAATGACACAAAGCAAAATTTAAAAAGTAGGTTGAAATAATTTCACAGGCTCATATAAGAATGTAATAAAAAATTAAAAGGCTTTATTGGGAAGCATTATTAGTTTTACTTATTTTGGATATTACATTTATTTCATTATTTATGACGTATTTTCAACAATATTATTTCATTGACCATGAAAGACTAATGGAGTTTGGATAATTATAACATGGATTTGTAAGAAGTATTGCACCAAAGACAACCAATGAAATAAGATTAAATCATAAAGGAAATTTCAAGTTTTTGTGGATAAAAAAATACTGAAAACATTTCTCATTACTTATATCAAGCATGTAGTTTTATAAAATTTATTAAACTGATCTTTCCTGCTTATCATCTTGTTTTACTATTAAAGGCTGCATGAATAGGTTACATTATTTAACTTAATGATTCAAATCAATATCAGAAAAAAAGCAGATCATTCAAATAGGCAGCAAAATAAGAGATAGAGCAATCAGAATCACCATGACAACTATTGCATAATACTTACTGTCAGGAATAGATAGGGTGGAGGATATTAACAGATTTGAACTTAATCAAACATTAGAGCACAATATTAGGTCTTGGTAATTTTGGAAAAAAAAAACGAGACAAAATCAGAGAGAGAGTTTGATTGGCAGTTTCTAACTCTAGCAGGACAAAAATCATAAAGTATTACTTCATATGAGTTAAATTAGGAAATAACAGGTTTCCCATTAGGATTCCCATTTACTGCAACTGCCTGTTATTGCATAATCTGTCTCATTTATATTCTCCGGTAGTTTACCAACACCGGAAATTTTTGAGGAATGAATGAATAATATTCATATTCACAATAATCAAAATGGTCATATATTTGGTAAAATAATGAGATGTTCTGCAGATAGAGATGACTGTGCAATGGTAAATTTTGTTAAATATTAATCAAAGCCTTAACATTTACATTATGCAGAAATTTCTCGAATAAATTATAGATAATCCTAAAACAATATTGAAAACCTGAAAAATTTTCACAGAAAAAAATATGCTCCAGGAATACCACAATATTATGCGCAACGAATATAAATGGCTCAGAGTTATCAATAAAAAATAGAGTAACTGGTGAAGCCTGAACATAGTTCAAAAATCAGTAATTTTGACAAAATTATTGGTTAATCTTAATTTTGATGATCAGTAATAAGCCGGCGAGCGATTGAAGAATAAAAAAAGCAGTAATACCTTAATATACACAGAAAAATTTGCATTGCTCAGTCAAAAAACAGGAACACTAAGAAATAATCAGTCAATAACAATGATTACAAAGTAAGAATGACTGTAACTTGGATGTTGTAATTAAGTTTTACTGCACTTTGAATAATACAAAGAATAAAGCACCTAATGGAAGCACTTGTTGAATGAAATAATAAGAAGTATAATACTAATATCTGGAAGAATTTCATTAAAAATATAATCTCAAAAACGAAGAAACTTTTAAAAAAATTGTCTTATCTTATTGTCTTTTCATATTTTATGGAATGTTTTAAAACATTTGGCATGTCATGTTTTTATTTTAGGAATTGTTAACATTCTTTCATGCTTGATCATCTTCATTTCAAATTATAATTTTCCGTAATTTTTGATATTTTTTAGACTAGGAATTTATGGGCACTGACAGCTTCCAAACAATATAGAAAAAATGGACGATTTATGACCGACTATAGTATTACAAAAAAGGATTTAAAAATTTGTAAATTTAGTAAAAGTGACAAATTCTCAAAACATAATACCACAATAAACTAACATTATTTCAACTTTTACAAAACTAGCCCCAAAAATTTGAAAATTAAATAAACATAGGATTGTGATAAACTCTCATTACATAGTAATATGGTATACACACCCCATTTGAAGTTAATATTATCTAGTCATTGATATATTATCATTTATATTATCAAAATTTGAGTTTTTCATGGCTTTTTTATCATTACACAAACAAGGTGTAGTGCAGCAGAAACTGTGCCTGGTTGAGTCCTGTTTAAACATAATATGGCTTTTATGAGATGACAAAAAATAAGGATCTTGAACAATAGAAGAAGATTCAGAAATACCGTTAATTAATCTTGATTTCAGTGCTTTTACATCTTGTAAAGAACCCTTAGGATGTTTACATGCCATCCTAGAAATATTTCTTCTCGCACTTTCTCTCGTGTTATGAGATGACTGGTAACTCAGATAAGTTACGTCCGATATAGACGACATAAGTGAAGAATCTGCTTTTGATTCAGCGTTTTTCGCAGAGTGCGAAATCGAACTTTGGCATGAAGTTTTGCAAAATGATAAAACTGGCGACGGAGAAGTAGCAGAAAGAATCGGCATAGATGAATAACGATATAATTTTGATATGTTCGATGGAAGCCTTTGTTGTTTTATATTATTATTATTACAGTTTAACGGAGTTTGTACAGTTCGTGAATGCCTCCGTGTTGTATTTTTACTAAAACACGAGTTTGTCGGAATTTTTCCTTTCATGTTGGAAATAGCACTGATGCTTGAAGTATTCTCCGTTTCAGTACCATTTTCTTTTACAGTTTGATAAGACGAAACATTCTCTGAAAATCTGTCTTCAAGTGCTTGAATATCAGAACAACTCGCCTAGGTAAATATAATATAGTGATTAAAAATAATGAAGATTGAAGAGACTAAGTCAGCCCTGAGTGCGAAATTTCAATTTCTCAATGACTGAGATGGGACTTTAAATTGATAGTAATGAAATTGCAACTTGTAGCACAAAACTAACTTTATATGAATTTGATGTTAAAATTAAATGACATTTTTTACAGTTGAAAGAAGGTTAAAAATCAATTAATTACAAACGCTTTCGACTTGACTTTAAAATTAAACTAGGTACATTCATCGACTTGAATATTCAATATAAATATCACTCAAAAGCTGCTTTCATTCTTTCTGGAATATACTAGTATGATCAGAATATTTACTGGACGAATGAACTCATTATGTAAAAATCTTTTTCCAAAATTTGACAAAAACACAAATAATAACTTACTGCTCGTAAGCCACGAATTTGAGATTGAATCTTTCCAAATCTTAAGGCATACTCAGCCACTCCACTGGCACAAGCAATTCTTGACCTTGATGAACAAAAATCATCAAATTTTTGAGTATATAACACAGTTTTGTTTTCACTCTCGGACTTTGGTAGATGCTCAGTGATGTTTGGTATAGGTTCTGATCTGTCAGTAAAACATTTTGAGAATTTGTTATTTTGATCAAGCTTAAAGTCCAGTAAATTCAGAACTTTTACCAATGAAATAGAATTTAGAAAAAACAAATTATGCACAAGGAAAGGTGAAATAAAAAATTACTGTATGTAAGACTAAATTTATAGAGTAAAAACTGAAAAATACCAACTGAATCAATAATATAATCTGAAAACATATCCGGGGTTAGCCAACTAAATCTCTCAAACGACTGTACTTTTAATGCATAAGTGCTCATCTGCATACGGATGTATATTGTAAAGATGGCTGCTGTATAGCCTTTGTTTGTTAGTAAGTAGCACTAGCAAAAGTACGTTTTTGTATGTGGGTGTGTCATAATTTGAGTTTAATGTGGCGATTGTTTGTAGGCAGAAATTAATGCGGCCTGCCTGCTAACGGAAATGTGTAAATTTGGCGGAGTAGTACATAAAGTTTGCAGACCAATGCTCAAAATAGAAAAGCAATCTTCCACTTTATGCAAGAAATGAGTCATTTTTAAGTGTCTTTTACAAACAAAAACTAGGATCATATACCCATCCCCATTTCAACATTATACAAATTAAACAAGTCATGCGACCAAAATTTAAAAGACATACTCATATAATTTGGCATGCTCCTTCTCGCTAGTCATCGTGTCGACCTTCTCACATAACGTTAGCACTGGTGTCACAACCTCCTCAGATTCCTCATCAAATCCACTCGATGTATCTGAGTGAGATAAAGCTGAAGAAACATCCTCTTCGCTTGATGAGAGTGTATTTGATATCCGAGATGACCTTACAGTGATATTCTCTCCATGTTGTGTTGATTTTTTAATTTCCTCAACACCAATATGTTTTAGTCTATGTGGCAGAGTGGCAACATCAGGAGAGAGTCTTCCATCATTGCTATGAAAGATTGAAACAAATTCATTTAATATCGCTCGATTACGATAGGATGGGATTTACATATTTATCCCGGGGGCGAGGAAATTGGATAAGATGACTTACTTAATCATATGGCGAACCACACCCTCTCGTTTGGTTATCATTTCATGTCGGGTATGGGATTAGTCAGCCAGTTATTTGTTTTCAGATGCACGGACTTGATGGTGGAGGAAGCCATAACCGACAAGCGTTTACGTGAACTCCCCTACGCCGGCGAGGAGTCCGGCAATCCACTCGTACATAATTTAATGTAAAAAATTTCAGAGCTTATCAAATTAGAAATGCTTTACAACATGACATCTTATTAAGAATAGTAATGCCATATTAACAAAAGTTCAACAAAAGAACGAATATTATTATTCATCAGTGCATTCCTAGTGTTGGATACAGCCAATATTAATTGATTTATCCTCTTTTGTCATGATGGTTAGAATACCTACCACAAATCATATTTACCTTACTATTTCTTCTAATTCGAAAGAATCAACTTTAACCATGTTTAGAATATTTTTTCTGCCGAGTTGTTTCCATGGTGATAAACGGGCAGGGGATGACAAAGGTTCAGTCAAAATCTGGAATAGAAAACAAAAATTTAAAAACCTGAGATGTGTTGTCACTTTGTTTTATGTAACACTGAGTTGTGTTTAGATTAAAAAAAAGTTGCCAAACTAAGAGGTCGGCTCATACTAGCATAACTCTGATCGCACCAAAGGGTCGGGTTATACAAGCATAACTCTGAGCGCACTCAAATGAAATGACATTATGCTAACTTAATTCCAACAACCATTTGCTGTGATAGGTGCATAAGGTACGGTGTGTTACAGTTTGTAGGGTCAGCCTACATGCGGATTTTTATAAATTCACTGTTTTATGGCAGTTTTGGGGGGGTATGATTATATGCCACACCCCACCTCACCTAGGATGTTATAAATTAGGAAGGCAATGGCAAACCAGAAAGATATCGGACCTTCCAAATAATAAGCAATTCCTTAAATACCAGTAGATATCAGTTGCTGCTTGTATAAAGCTTTCTTCATAGTGAAAGTCATGAATAAGCATTGTAAAGAGAAAAAGAGACTATACCACCATATATGTGTTCTTTAATAGATTCCTGGATCCACTCAGGGTAATCAAAGGTACAATGGCAAGCGTATCACTAACATTAGGCAGGACCTGCCAGATCATTTTGTTGGCAAGTTGGGGTCACTTCGTTTATGCTTTTGGGGATTTACTAAATAAACATTTATAGTTTGCACACATGAACTTGCTTTGTACAAATTCGCATACAATGTTTCCATTTAATCTCAACACAGCATGCAGAGGACAACAAAAGTACAACTAACCAATTTTTCCACAATTTCAGATTCAAGTAAGCGATCTGGTGGCATGTCATCAGGTTCAATTTGGTTTATAAGAACATGGTTAGCTTGTGGTGATGTTGTGCATAGATCGGATACTTCATGGGATTCTCCACCTCTGTCAAAAGTTTGTTGCTTCTCAAGCTGTCAAAAATAATTCGTAAATTTAACATAGGAACTTTGTACAAAACAGGCTGATAAAAAATTTGCTTCATATGCTGGCAAGGCAAGTAACATACACACTGGCTGAAAATTATTCATACCTAATTATATTTAGAAACGGATTATGTCAATTCCTACGGACAGTTTATGAAAATATTGTTCCATTCTGACCATTTTTTGTCATCAAATTTCTGTGACTGTAATATATCACATATATTATTATAGTCTATTTCCAATCAATTGAATTGGACCTGAATGTATTTAAATACAAAAAATATATCTTTTTTCAAAAAATAAAAATAGATAGGCTACAGAAAAAAAGGATTGAAACGCAATATCAAAATGATTAAATTTACTTCATCCCAATAAAATATTGTTAAGTTAGAGATGGCCCGCACTTGAAAAAGGTATCCAATATAATTTGCAAATGTTGCTGCAAAATCTATTTTTCTATTTTGCAGTAGCACAGAATATCTTGCTTTTAAATAAGAAATTGGCAGACAGACAAATGATCGATCGTATTCCATACAAATATCAGATGCAAATTTAGAATGATTCCATAATTTGGCATTGTTCCATCTACAAACTTAATTGAAGCTATTGAATTAGAAACTAACGTGGATCAAAGTATGAGGAATAAAATGAATTAAATATTAGGGTAAAACTTGTATAATTTCAGTGCGCCAACGAGATTAATTACAATGATTGTCATTAATGTAACCATCATAGAATATTCAGAATCATAGATATTGTTTGAAACCCTGAATGATTATTTAAGGCAAAAGTCACAAAAAATTAAATGGAAAAAAAAAATGATATTCACTTATTCCTGATATGAACAAATCATTTATGCCAAGAGCTATATTTGAATATTCTATGATTCTATCAATGTATTATTTCTCTCTAATGTGATTTAAATAACTTAAAGTATAATTTGGTTATAAACTATGAGCGCTCAGTAAAACAGATCTTCTGAATAATTTCATGATTTTTCATAAATTGAATTTTTCTGGAATTTTAATTCAAACTGTGGTAGTCAATAATAGTTGATGAAGTCACATTTGCGTGATACTGCATTGTTAATTAAAAAATTTTTACAGATTAAAGGATTTGGATCTTTCATGTTTTAATATGATACAGTACCAGATAGCAATGAGCGCACATTATTCTACGTAAATCAAGACAAAAATATTTCTGGAATAATGAAAAATTACAAAAACATATTTGAGGTAAGGCTTTTGAACTACCGGTACTTGAAGTTGGTCTTAATTATTAAATCTTGCTACAGGCTATAGCATCCTTGAATTGAGGCGAAAGAATTGAAGGACAGGTCGTTAATCCCACAGAAACCCAATTGACATTCCAAGATGAAAGCATTTGTGTATGCCAAACGAAACAAGATTTATGCCTGTATGATGTAGTGAAAGTACAAAAACGGAAACCTACTTTTTCCCTAATTTATATTTGAGCTGGCTATAAATATAACTATAAGATATTTTTAACACCAATGCTAAAGCTAAAATCATTCTGTCGCAGTCTGTAGACAAAATCAAAACTAATTTAGACGAAAATAGAACAATTCATAATATTAATAATATAGGGATTTTCCAATGAACTTTCTTTCCATAAAATAGATTTCTAATACAATATATAATAATAGTACTTTAATACCAAAGATACATATTTCAACCTTTTGGGTTCATGAATAATTAAAGTAAATCCCAATAATCTGACAAATTGACACTCTGCACTGCTGTTTATGAACCTTTATGGGTCCGTTATGTAGGGATTAAGGTACGATTACATGATTACATGTACTCGCCTTTCAAAACTAGAAGTATATGCCTATTAATATACTTCATATGAGGAGTGGTCCTGATTAAATATTTATCAGTTTATGCCAGACTAAAAATATATTTGTGAGTAGATAGTAGCCTTTTAAATTAATGCATTGTACCTCAATAAGTCCCATCAAAAATATAAACTATTTGTATTTAAATTGTCCAGTCTAGATATGAAATTAACGAAAGTATCACATTTCATTATTTTGCATTACAAATCCTTTCATTTTATATGCGAGAGTGAATTAATTATTGAAAAATGCATATCAAATGATTGTAGTCATTTTAATAATCATGGTGTTTCAATATGTATAGTATATGATACATATTAGGCTAGCATAGATAAAACCTTGTCGTTGTGCAAAAGAGGTTAATGTGCATATTGGGTAGATTACGTTTATATAATACATATAGGCAAGGGTTACCTATGAACTATAGGCATATTTACAACATTGTATTTGTGCCTAACTTTCCTTATATAAGATACTAGAAAACTACCCCACTTCTTTGACATAATATGTCATATCTATATTTATTAGATACAGAAAAAATTGAAAACAAACTTTATTTTCAACAAATTGGTAATGCGATTCCCAAAGTGACAACAGAATTTTTTTAATGGCCTCACAAACAACAATGCTGCACACATTTGCACTGGATAGAATAATTGTGGAGTAAACATGTCCTAAGACAAAAACATGAATCAAAATTTGACGAAACAATTTTATAAGTAACGATCCTCTGAAAATAAAAAACTTACTTTATTTAATTTCTGATATAAAGCTTCATTTCCCAGAACTTCTTTTTCAGAATAATGTTTATCTCGTTTTGGCGAATAATTTTCTTTTTCCTGAGAACTTTCTCTTATCGGTGTGATATGTTTATCCTTCAAACTCGCACTGCTGCTATCAGACTTGTCAGCTGTTTCTGCAATGAAAACATAAAATAAATTGAATGAAAGTTAAAAAAAAATTTGATATTCAAATACTTTCCAATTTAAGTTTTTATTTCATAAAATTAGAAGTTAATTGCAAGAAAGGAAAATGAAAGAGTATGGAATATGGATGTTTCCCCAAGCATCGACTTCCTTGTTTACTTCGTGACATTGGCCAATCAGCAAGATGCAAAAAAATGCATAACAACGCATTCGCTCAGACACTTTTCTCACTCAGACGTGGTCGTAAACAATGCCTTGTGTTCGCATTTCTGAATTGTATTCGTTAGTTTTACGTTGTGTTTCGGACATTTAAATATAAATGAAATATTTCAATGATCACTTTGTCTTCCTAGAAGTTTCAGTTTAATTGCAGTAATCAAAAATTAGTGTAGAAATAGCTGTGCTAGACTAGGCTAAAATTCTTCACCGGTACTTTTAAAAAACATATTGTTGAATGCTATGAATCAGAATGATGGTTTGAAACAAATACCCCATTTTACAGTCGCTGACTGGCGAAACTATTAAAATAGGCATCGAAAATTTTACAATGATAAAGTACAGAAAGAATCCCTGGGGTCAAAGGTCGGAGAAGTTCATTGAAAGCAGACATAATCTAACCTTTTTCTAAAAGAATATTTTTCGAATCTCACTTGCATTAAACTCACCAGGACAGAGGACATTCTACATTTGAAGCCCTGTGGAATTTAATTGGCTGTTCCATCGTATCATTGGTTAATTATAAATTAAAATATTTACCGTCTGTCCCTGCCTCTTTCTTCCAAATTAGGCAAAAGATGTTCAAATGACGATTGCCGAGATTTTGACCACCTGTGTCGCTTCTTCTGTGGTGGAATTCGCTTTGAATGAAGTGCTCCATTGTTCTAGAAAACATAACATTGTTGTATATTTCTTATTACATTATGACATAGAAAAAGCATTGTAAGCATAAAAAATATGTAATAATTTAAGAGGTAGCAAAAATTATTGTTTTGAATATTATTTTATTCAGATTACATAAAATCATATTGCTTATTTTAACATTTATGTAATAGCTAATCAAGGAATATCAGATAGCCAAAATTTGATTGAGTTTAAAAAAATAGAAAAGATACCAAGTCAAAAAGATGGGGCCATTAAATGGAAACAAGCACATAATGGACTAACTTGAATAAAATTAAAAAAACAGCGTAACAAAATTTTTTGAATAAATTTCAGATATGCAATGCCAGTATCCAAGTTGTTATAAGGAAAAATAACAAAGTATGAAGTCCCAACTAACTTATTCCACCTAAATTAGAATATTTTATAGTTTCTAATAAAATATGATGTGTTTTATTAAAGTCTGCTTAACACGAATACATAAAAGCCCAAAGTTTCAATTCAATATATATTTGTTGTTTTCCAAAATTCAATTTAATCGAAACTCAAAAATTACCGCTATGGCATAATAGGCTGATGATTATTATTTAAATTTAGATGAATAGTATGATATACTAAACACAATCAAATTGCAATCATTGACCAGGTACAATATCACAGGGAGCAAGTTTGAATTTTTAATTGAGATAACACCCTTTTTAATTCATTTGTTAGTTTGTTATTTGAAAATGAAAAATGATGATTTTTTTTGGCAACAATCCACCGGAAATCATGTCGTATAAGAAGATGACTAATAGACCTTGGATGCTTCCAGAAGAAGAATCTTTTTGAAACACGATGAAGATGAAGAATCTATATTCATATTATTATTCTTGACTAGCAAGCCATTCTCTAGTCTTCAATATACCATTGTGAACAGTTGGACCTTCAAAGAAAAATATAGGAGAAATTGTCAACTTGTCAAGACATGATGTACAAAATGCTTGGCATTGCACCACTGATTACTTTATGCAGGTTAGAAGACTAATTATGTTTCTTGGAAAATTATGCGTGAAAGAATTGTTGCAGGGTGATTCCCGTCATCATTGTCTTTGGAATGATAGAAAGACATAACCTATTAGAGATTGGACATAATGATTATTATTAAGCCGTCTTATCAACTTCGTTTTCCCAAAGGTTAAATATAAAAATGCAACTCTAAAATGTAGAATACCATTAGCCTAACAAGATAAAATAACAAACTGGATTCAGTCCTAGAAATTTTCAAGTTAATTATTAAACGATATAGATGCATTACCATTCAAAATTGGCCATATTAGTAATATTTAGTGACAATAGCAGAAGATATTGTATGAAAATTTAAGTGTCGCAATAACATTGTTTCAAATGGCATATAAGTGAGAAGTGAAAATCCCCATCATAGACTTGAAACAAAGAAGTTGATAAAAACTTCTCATCAAGTGTTCTTCGAAGGCATATAAATTTTAACATCCAATTGCATATCGGTATTACCAAAAGCATATCGGCCTTGCTTCTATTACCACTAATATATCATTTTTCAAAACACTCAATTCCCCCAAAGTCGTAAATAATTTTATTAAATATAATATATTCAGAATAAAACAAACAACATCCATTCGTTTCAAATTTCAATAATCCCATAATTATATTTGCATCTCATATTTCATTGTAACACAGTATTGTTCATATTGATGTGATGTGTCTAATATTTCATTGCTTAAAATCCATAATTTCAAAAATACCCAATTATTTTTTCTGATAGAAAGACATTTAATTTAATAAGTTTCGAGAATATCATATATTTCCTTATTAAATTACTTTAACCACACAAATATGTATCTCCACGTTTTAAAAATATAATATCCAATATTAATTAAGAATTAATACTCGCTTAATGATAATATGACAATATTGATTAGCAGTACACAATACCATGGTAAAAAGATATTAATTGTGTTAGGTCATTATAATAAACATCTGTCAAACTATTTCCTGATACATAAGAATAGTCACTTCTCCTTAGGCTAAAGTCTAAAGGTATAATACTTCCCACGCTATCAATCAAAGGTTAGTAATTTGATGTACTAAGTCGCACAAATATGAAATATCGAACATGATATTTTGTATGACATTAAAATTCTTAACCGCATACTTCTCATCGATGTCAGGAATGAAATCGTCAGAAAATTTTTATGCTGATTTGCATGACGTCAAACTGAAATTCCCATACATTATAAACACAGAAATATTAATCAGGGATACAGAGGACAAATATTAAAATGAGGGAAACTTTGGTAATAAACGCCACATTAGATCACAATATTTTTATCGTCGTTTCTGTAACAGTAGATCTCAATAGCAAAACCTATACTAAACAGCAACATATCCTTGAATTTAATGACTATGTTACTCTGTTATGACTATGCCTGACTTGATCTTGATATGAACAGGCCTGATACTTTTCTAAATTAATGATAGATCTTGAGTGAGGTAGTAGAACTGACTGCTGAGATCCTTTATTTAATTAAGGATAAAACTTCCAATATATACAAAATGCTTTTACAATCAGGGTAGGCCAAAACCTAACGATATTTCGAACCTTTTGTTCAATCGCCAGGGCAACCCATTTTTATCAGTTAGGAAGACATGATATTTTGATATTATCAGAATTTTCCATTTCTAAAGCACAATTTATCATTTGACTGAAATATTGTTCAATGATATAATTAAACAATTAGGCTTATTTAAAAGAAAATTTATGATGAGAAAAGTAAAATATTTTTGACATAGATACAGATGTATTCATTATGCAGCTACAGTATATGGACAATATCTTTATAAATATAGAAGGCCTTATGCTTACTTCAATGCAAGGTATTCTTTATGGTAAATTAGCATAGCTGAACCTACCAATTGCATGATGATGTGTGCTTGCGTGGTGTTGATCACATTGCTGACTACGTTGCAATTCAATTTCCTCGTTTCCAAGGGGTAGAGAAGAGAATCGTGACAAAATCTGAATGACAAAAGGTTGCATATTCAAATGTTGCATTGCTCATCAGTTGGCGTTAATCAAATATATGGAAAGGTCAAATGACTAGCTGCAGTACATCAGTAGCCCACAGAAATAAGAATGAAATTTGTTTCATGGTTTGCAAAAAACTCACAAATAAATTCCACCATAGCAATTTACTGTGGTATCAGGCTTTGTCTGGGACAAGGTTTGACAAAAGATGTCCTACTAGCTTGACATGGTAGCAATGTATGCAAATATGTAAAAAAGGAGCTAAATTTACTAAGCGGCGGAGGTCTCTAGAAAAAAAGAAATAAAATAAAACAGGTTTCCAGAAATTTCTTCCATTTTTTAATTAGGTACTGGAGGTCTTTGTTGTTCAGTTATTAAAATACAAATTTGTCTAAGTGTAGACATTAAAACTAGACTAATATGAAAATACAAAGTTTTACATTTGTGTCATTAAAATAGCCTATTTAGGAGTTAATTACAACCATTTTCTGTTCCATTCTATATATAGATTCGAGCTATATATATTAATAATAACCAATGTAAGAATTGATCAATTTCTTCATTATTAATTGAAAATACAGATCATATGTTTTTCATAAGTTGACCGGATTTGTGGTATGCAAATCAGTTTATTATATACAGAGTGAATCAGCATGTAATGTGTGATAATAAACCACCATTTTGTACAAAAGAACAGAAAATTCAGCACTTCATATACTAAATAATTTTATCATCAATAATGAATTTAAGCAATGAACCGTGACTGGACGGAATGCTTGAAATCGATGAAACCTGATTCCATACTGTCATTTGTTTCATAAGACTAATATATGGTAATTAAACTGTCATTTACTTTGAGTAGAACAGACAACAATCTAGAATCCCATTCGCAATTAAAAATGTATCCAAAATCATATATATAATAACCCCCCTATTCAGCTGAGTAGTTTTTAATTTATATATTTTAAAAAGAAAGATACTCAGAAAATTATTATTATATTATTATTTTTTACACAAATCTACTAAACTATCAAATTATATGCTTTTATAATCTCATCAGAGCCACTTATGGGCTGAGGATTTGGTGACAAATTATATGTATTTCGCGAGGATGTCTAAAAATGGAGTATGGCTCAGCTATGGCCGATTATAAAATCTACTTGTAGTTTTTTCGCACAGTGATAATGATTATAAGTACTTTCAAAAACAAAATTAGAAAATTGAAATCATGAATTGCTATCAACGAGATAAGATAGACACAAATGATCCAACTACAAATTGAGATAATATTTTATATATATCCTCAATACAGAGATAGAGAATGCACTATTTTGATAAAACACCATATTTTCGATCTATCAGTATTACATATTCCGAAATTTCCCTTTGTTTGAATTTCACAACTCAATTAAACAAAATGCTTTGGACCCTATGAAATATGGTCCAATGTCAACATACTAATACAATTTTTACCAGAGAGCAATTCAGCGACTAGACACCATTTATAATGCCTTGAGACTCCAATACATACCAGACAGAATAAACGATTGTTGCACAATGTTTGCCCAAGCGTAAATGCTTAAAGTAATGAAAACAAATTACATCCAAATAATATTTTACGAAGGAATACTTCGAGCATAAAAAAATATTTGTCAAACTATACAATCTTTAACACTGCGTAATGAGATATTTCCGAATACCTGATGATTTCAGAATCAAATCGAATATTTTTTTTACCGTACTTGGAAGATATGTATTTGTATGTGACTATTCATTGTAATGTGTTCTCCAGACACATAAATTACTGAAATCACGGAATCCATGACTCAGAGAGTTCATGGACCATTCACACACAATAAGAAACAAGTTTCATCAATAACTCATTTGGAAGAAAGGAGTCGTATATCACAATTGCATTGTAAAAATATGGTTCAATAAAGAAAATGACAAATCTACCTCGACCTTCAGAGGACAAAAAAAAAACGAGATACCAGCAATTAGAAATTTTCATCTAGACCGATTCGAATAAATTGTTATTCGGTTCGATCAGAATATTAGATTCGAAATGCCCAGCCAGAATAATGAATGTACCAAATATGATAAAATACTTACAGAAGTATGTGATTCTTCTCCTTCAAAAGGTACAAATCCTAGACCCAGTAATAAGTCCTCAGGATCACCTTCTCGGGCATCAATAAGATCTGAAATGCTACAAAAAAAATTTTTGTCACAAAAAGCTGTTTATTACAATTTACGAGTAAAGATAACTGAGCTAATCAACTAATACGTATTAATAAGATCAAATAGACCATATGGAAAATTTACTATAAATATTGTGATAACATATAGTTTTGATTGAAAAAGGAAACAACACTACATGATCCAACTAGAATTATTGATAAAACACTATGTATTTCTATTAGCAGGGTGCTTTAAATAAGGTAATCTTGTATCAGCTAATACACGTCTTCACTGAAAACATGGGTAGAGAAAAACCCGCACCTAATAAGGGTGATCCAAAAAACAGAACCCATGAATTTTTAGTTATTTCTAGGAAAATTTATTCAACACAAGAACTTCTGTTTGTGCACGATAGTACCCAAAGGTTTTAGTAACCTAGAATGTTATGCACAAAAGTAATGATCTCTCTAGAATATAATTCGAATGACATGGATTTGGTTCTTTGGGGTCAACCTATATCCTATAATATAATGATAAACTATGTTTTTAACAGGACTGGAAGTCTGTAATCTTCTCCTTTTATCATAAATTAGAATAGGGGTGGGTATGGTGGCCCAAATTACAATTTGAATGACTTCCTATATAAAAGGCTCGTGGATAAGATTTGAGAACTTGGTTTGCAATGACAATTGACAACATAACAAAACGAATAAAAAAAACATCAACAACTCACCTAGAAATGGTTGAAACAGTGTAATTAAGATCATTTTGATCGTACTGATTTCTCTGTTGTTTCATAATTTCGAATTTGTGGACCGGTCTGTCACCAAGATCATCTTCATATTTGGCAGTGAATGTATTTGCTATCATAATAAACAAAACTTCTTATCAACAATGATAATTATTCATCTAAGTTATTCAAGTTGTTAATGACGTCAATTGGTAAGGTTTTAAAGTACATATTATATTTGTTACCACATTTGAAACTAAAAGTAATCTAAAAGTGAAAATTTTGTGAAAAACTAAGAAAACTCAAGTGTATAGGCTATATATAAGCAATTTTCAAAAAAGAATTCCTGGTATGATGCATGTGAAAAATTCTTTTTTTAAATAAAATTACTATAATAACTTGAATAACGAAAATTATGATAAGAATATACTAAAATCCATTAATATTCATGATAGTCTTGATAAAAAATTCTAATCCCCTTATCCCTAATAAACAACATAATTATAATCTATATCAAGGAACTCTAGTATAACAACCAGACTTGATTTTGTCTGAAATAAACAAGTGCCAAGCGGGTTTTCTCAAAAATGTGTAGCCTAGCAAAATCTTTTTAGCTCAGATAAATACCCTTTTCAAATTATCAGGTTAAAGTTTTGAATGTAGCCTACCGTACTTTAAATCTATACTCAATTTGAATCGAAAACTGAACTTGAATTGGTATCCATATTTCCCAAAACAAAAATATTGCAGCTTCAAATAATGCAATGATTTTTTCACTACTGACTTGCATGTAATAAATAATTTCCAGTCTGGAAATGATTTTGATGGTTGTCTGTGTAATAAGACAAAAAGCTAGCTTTCATCTACATAGTCAATAGTTAGGCAGGACACAAGACATGACGTTACTTGGCAAAGCTATTCACGAAAAAAAGTGTTTGAATGATAGTAAGAAAAATTCTGTAATTCTGTATTATCCTTCTGCGAGAATAGGTATAATTATCAACATCAGTTTAGATAGGAATGGCTCTAATTCTGTGACTTATAAACAGCAACTTATCAACAGAATCACTAAGATGACATCAACTGAATAACACAATTTTCATAAATTGAAACTATCACTCATATTTCACGTCCCTACAGATCGGTTACTATTGATCTTATTTATAGGCTGACAAACTCAATGTGGCAAAAATCAAACTGCATCTTTATGCTTAGAGAAGATAGCCGATTCAGTTTAGACAACTCCTACAATTCAAATATCATTAGCGAATAACACAAATTCCAATTGACAGTTTATGGCATATGGTAGAGGATACCATACTGTCACCACACCCATAGTGACACAGCAAACAGAAATGGGAGTCACCAAAGCAATATTTTATGGGGACCATTAAATGTTACATTACATATATCGCTGACCAGTGAGTAAACATCATTCAATAAGCATAGCAGAATAGGGATAGATTATTAAAATGCAGTGTGAAATTTGGAAATAAAAAAATTCAAAAATCACAGTGTTTCACATTCACCCCACAACATCGTATATATCTCCCCAAACATAACCATACTAGCACACAATTATGTCTATAAACTTGTAGGCTACCTTAAATTTTTCACAATAGAAATTAATTACAATATCCTTACTGGAAAAACAGCAGGTCCTTTTCTTTTGTATCCTCATTTATGATTGAATCATAATTTATACACATGTCAAATCTAGCTATAGCGATAATCTATATATTCTGATAATATATTACATTAGTCCATTCCAAATAACACTTAAATAAGACTGAGAGAATTGACATTTCATGAAAAATAAAACTTCAGACAGGTTTGTTTCTCACTTCAGAAGTTCATTTCCTTATTGTGTAATCATGACTCAGCAGTAGCACTATAATGCTTACCATCAGCTCCTAATCGCAAGTCATCGAAATCTTCGCTGATTGAAAAAGTAGAAGAAGAACAACTTGTATTATCATCATGAAATTGGAATTCTAATTCCATCAGATTAAGTTTATCTGAATAAGAAATAAAAAAATATATAAGTCAGGTAAAGAAGGTGAATAAATCTTCTATACACTCCAGCTGATTCTATATATCAGGGGTGGCCCACCTGCTTTCGACCGTGATAGACTAAAATCTACAAAATAGCTCGGTAGCTAGTAAGGGTGCATTCCTAATGAAATCGACACAAAAAATTGTATTTTGATTGTTCCATTATTTATTTAGTAACAAGGTTTGTTTATTAAATCATACAATTCAGATCTAAGGCCTGCCTAATTTTATGAAGCCGTTGGAAAATCCCTATAAAACCTTGCTAAGTATTCATGTAATATTTAAACGGCGAAAAATAAATATTTTCAAACCATAAATGTTACATGACTGATCAAACTTCAGTAGCCTATCTAATTTACAATTTCCTTCGATTTCAAGTCCGATTCTTCGCTCGCATGGAATTAGAAAAAATCGGGCATTTTGATGCCAACGCTACTGTTGCGAATAAAATTTATCACACTACTCATGGAGTGAGACAATAACTTTCGCATAGTTTCGACATGTTGGCTACCCCTGCTGTATAGGATAGCATTAATTATGAATTAAACTGAACAACCACTCAATAAACTCCTTGTACATGCATTCAATTGCTTTAAATGATACATTTTATAATAAAAAATGATCTGTCAAAATGAAATGTTTACACAAGACAGAACTTCAAACATGTAAATATGGTTGGAAGAGACCCCTCCACATTTTTCACCACTTTTGTGGGGCATAGAACGTTTATTTCATATTGTATTTAAAATACTAATTATTTGATAAAAAAAAAGTCAAATTGTTAGTTATTATCACATGCCTTTTGAATGATATCATTCCATTCACCATGTTTGAACTTGACGAAAATTGATTCCGTCTACAATTGGAGATTAAATTTATAGGATGTTGTTATGCAACCTCCTTCAATCAGCCAAATTTAATGGAATAATAATATGAGACTATTACTTTTGTAAGTTATTCTTATAAAGTTCAGCTGGCAGAATATACAAAAATTACATACATATATGAAATTATTCAATTAAATATCATAAATTATAAATCAAAAGGCAACTAAACTAATATTCTATAGGCTATGCAGTTGGTGTTAACAGCCTCGGACACCGGCATGACTATAGAATAAACATTACATTAATTCTAGTCTCTAGACACACATTGCACAACAAGGGACATATCATAAATTACAATAAAAATGCCAATTCTCTTAAAACAAAGTAAATAGAGTCTTGCATTTTATATAGGTATGTATAAAATGATTTTCACATTTCATTGTATCATTATTTGCACATTTATGTGAATATTGAAGAAATTATATGTGACATGCTAATAATTATTAAAAGATTCATACTCCATCACTCAATAAAGATGGATCAAATGCACTTATTAAATGTAAAATTAATCTGCTTCGGGTTGGATGGTAATAATAGCGATATTTGCTAAATGAACACAAGACTAATTAGGGGTGAATAGGGTAGAGCTAAGGGAAGCAGAGAACCCATTTAAACCTGTGGGTAGCTACGGTATATAAATCCTGATCTACGGTATCCTAAACTGTAAAAAGTTATATGATATACTATACATTCAATCTGTTGAGTTGAAATTAAAACAGGTCTAGTAATTTTCACACCATGATGTGTATGATATTTTTATAATCAGGCACAAATGACCAAATAGGTCAACTTGATAGAATTAATTAAGTACCAAGTCTTTGCAAATTCATCATTACCGTCTTATTTTCATGATAAACATCTCAAGACTGCAATAGGTTCCTATTTTCAAATTATGTCAGATATCCCAGCTGAATTAGTTGACAGTTCCTTATGTCAGAGAAGACGAGAATTCATTTTAAGAAGTCAACAAATTATATTGTAACATGCAACCAATCTCACCTGATAAAATGTCCATTCCCGACACTGAACTCTCGCATGTTAATCAACCAAACGCTTATAAACAAAGCAGCATTTTCCAGTCACATTAGAAATTACAGAATATTTAATACAATTTGATGTTCGAAAATTACTAATGCAAGCACATGCGATTCTGTCAATCCTACCAAATCTAGTTACCTCCGAAAAATAATTGTTTCCAGTGTTGTTGTATACATGGGTGAGATTTTCCTTGTTTAAATGATACAATAAATATTTAACTAGAGAGCTGAAAATATATATTTACCGTAATTTAAATTTATATGTATTCACTATTCAGATACTATTTTATCACCAACAATAAAATAAACTATGTGTTTGTATAGATTCTGGGCTTATTCAATACGACTTGAACTCATCTGAACCTGTGATTGACATTAGAATGAAATCACTATTGCCAATCACATTCCATGACTCCCAGTCAAATAGCCCATGATCCAAATATATTTTCTGTATGTAATTGTTAATAAGTATCATGGCCATATTCAGATAATATCAAAACAACTTCAAACAAAATTACAGTAATGTAACCCAATACTGATAACAGGAACATGTATGAATAATAATGATTTCCGTCTATTACCAAATAAATATTTAATATAAAAAAAAGAGAATGCTAAAATTACACATTATATTCTGTATACATGTAGAAAACAGACATGCTATCAAATACGCTGGCTCAACAACTCATCACTGAAACCATTTCCTGTCATTAAAAATGACCGATTCATACATAACACATACACTATGAAATGATCCCTCGTCCTTATATGGGCCAAACATGAGATCACTGAGCAACGGCAGATATTAATGGCCCATAATTTTTCGAAATACAAATAGACAATATGGTATCTTCCATGTGGAAGCGACACATTAATTCTTTTTCTAATGAAAATATAGCCTATTTCAATTCATACGACAATAAATACGAAATGGGAAAGTTATGGGAAAAGCCGAAATGAGGTATATTTTACATGTTTTAATCAGCCAAAATAAACTCATGGCTCCATGTAAACAAATTTTTATGGAAATGAAATAAGATGTCACTAGTCACAAAAAAGAAAATCAGGTTAAGAAATATAATTTTGGGTTGCAAATCTTGGTGGGGCGCACATATTTTTTTTAAAAAGTTAAAAACCGAACCGGTGGCTAATGCATCACATTTTTTAACAAGTCAGAAGTTGAAATTTTTGACTTTAAATAGCGAGCGACTTATGGACTAAAGTCGTCTTACCAGGCAAATTATTTACAAATGACATTTTATGTGACACTTGTTGTTGCATTACGCTTGATGACTTTACAACATCAGGTGACAACAACATAATACAGTAATAACAAAACGATCCACTCCTTGTTCAGTAATCTGCTCCTCGAGCATAGATTATATAATTACATTATCGCTAAACTCCATGGGCCGCAGGTTGCATACCCCTGATCTAAAGTAACGACAAAGTGTTCGATTCTAACTATCCCTGTGAATTATCAATTACAGAATTACATTAACAAAAAATCTAATTGAACAGAATAAGAACGAAATGCTTGGCATCTTACTGATAGGAACCGCGCAAGATGCTGTTTATCATATAGCCTAATTACAAAATCAGGCCATCTTATTAGCCTTCTTTTCCCTTGAGGATAATCTCATTTTATTGGTTTGAATGACACTTACACATCATCATCATTACATATCAACTTTTGATATAAACAAGCTCCCACAAAAATACCGTAGATGGCAACCCTTCCGGCTTCCGTAGATATAGTCTGGTGTAGTTCCGTACATCGGTACCGGTACCTAACGTACTTCTAGTGGGCGTAGCATACCGGTAACAATTTTCTCACATGTCAATCCTAACCCCCCACCTGACTACGCCATTCATGCCACGGCCAACTCTGAATCACGTCACAGAGCCGGGTCTCGTGTAGTTTCGTACCTAACGTACTTCTAGTGGGCGTAGCATAACAATTTTTTGATATGCAATCCTACCTAACCCCCATCTGATTACGCCATCCAAAAATTCAATCGCTACGACATCACAATCACGTCATAGAGCCTGCCAAATATACCGTACGCACGATCGACCGAAATGGCATTGGCGCCGGCGATAAAGAACTGACTGACGTTATCGGTGCTCTGCTATTGTAATCGTTGCGACGAGAAAACGAGAGAAATAACTGTTCGATTTCGGGTGCTCGTTTGCGCGTCTTTGATGGCAGTTCGTATAGTTTGAAGGGCTCTATTACGTCACTGTGACGTCGTAATGACGTAATTTTTAGATGATGTAGTCAGGTGGGGATCAGGATTGATACGTGAAAAAATTGTCATGCTACGCCCACTAGAAGTATGTTAGGTAAGAAACTACATGAGACCCACAGATCCAGAGTATAACTACGATCGCCCGAAATGCCATCTGTGTCGACGATGAAGAACTCACTAACGACAGCGATCTCTCTAATATCGGGATCGTTGCGACGAAAAAGCGAGAGAAATAGCTTGCTCGATTTAGGGTGATCGTCTACGCGTCTTTTTCGTCAATCAGTAAACATAAATAAACCCCCAAAATTAACTAGACTATGAGCGAAAAGTTTTCGGGGCAGACGGGTACCGGTACCATAACTTAGTTATGAAATGACTATGTCCGCTATTTGTCCCTACTAAAATGTTTATGTCCTCTATGTCCCTACTTAAATAAGCTTTCCAACGAGCCGTCAGTGAGCAGCAGAGGATCATTAGTTTTTCGTTAGTCGATCGATTAGTTGTGGGGGTACAAATGCATAAAATCGGCGTAGCAAATACGATTATTTATGAAAAATAATAAAAATCGCATGGAAAGGGTTAAATGGCTTTGTCCGCTATGTGCCTACTAAAATGGGTATTTCGCTAATATAAGTAGAAATATGTAACAGTTAGGCATATCACATACGTTAAGCTGTAACGTTAGGGTGACCATATTTCCAAACCTTAAAAGGAGGACACGTCGTTTGGTAGAACCACATTTCTGTGTCTGAGATTATACATTATATAGCCTATATGCTGAATTCTCTGGGATTAAAAAAACATCCACAGAAGAATCGATTTATTTGTCATTAGACCATGAGTATTTGGCAGTTCCTTCGTGAATATTGTTGAGTTATTTTTTTCAATATCGTAGAACTGGCTGCAAGAAGTGTCAATCAAATTTAGTGGGTACAGAGAGAGAGATATTTATTTCGTAAACCAGAAAAAAACAGTCATAATAATAAATAAATAATAGCTATAAAAAAATACACTTTTTACGGTATAGACTGGAAGGAGCGACACGACCATGCGGTCATCGAAGTCTGCCCCCTCCAGTGATTTCCCTACACCCCCCCTATAGGGGGTGAACACCCCCCCTAAAATTTCAAACACCCCCCCTAATTTTGAGGTGCGATTCCACACTGAGGGGGTTCTAAACCGCAGTCTGCGGGCCAATTACGGCCCGCGTGACGATTTAAAATGGCCCGCCGAACTTGAGTGAAATAGTTTAACCCTTCATGTGGTACCTTTTGAGTTTTAGATACCGTCTATTGTTACATCATTATCACAGTTCAAGCACGTTTATTTCGTAACAATTGAATTATTCCGGTATCTTATGTATACGTATGGGTATTAGGATTACACACTGCAGTATTTTAGATTTCAGCCGTATATTAAGAAAGCTTAAAGATGTCACAAAACGAAAACTAGGCACTGAAAACAGACTTTTTTTAGATGAATGACAGCGTTGTTTATTTCTTTATTGAAAAGAATCAAACTTCAGCGATTTGTCTTCTTACCAACAAAATATTTCAGTTCTGAAGGAATACAACATTATGCGACATTATGATCAGTTGACGAGCTTATTCCAAAATTTAATTCATACAAAAGTCAAACAAACATGTTCAAAAAAATTAGAAATGTGTAACAAAACAAGCCATAAGTAGCCATTCATACAATGCCAGATGAGCAAGTAACTTCATTAGTCACTATCAGTTGCAACTTGCAAATTACTTGTTGCAACGTAGTAGTATATATTTACGGTTGAAAGCCGTGCTTGTTATCTATTCCCCGGGAATTCTATCAGCTAAATATTATAATTATTGATTTCATTACATAACAAACTGCGATGTTAGGTGTATCTAAAATCAAGCTTAGAGCCTATTTTGGTGCCTATTTCTCAAAATTTTCTCAGGGCGCTTGAGCGCGCCCTGAACCCCAGCCGTGTCGCCCCGCACTTTTCCTCGCTCCCCTTTTCTGGCCCTACAATTACATTCCGTTGTGGATTTTGGCTCGCGTCAATCAACTTGGGGGGCCCCATGTAGCCTACATCGTTTCTTAAATACATACCATTTTTTTAGGTAAACAAATAGCCTAGTTTTATATCTAACAGCAAATTATTTACCACCCCCTAAATTTTGAAACACCCCCCCTAAAAGGAAAAGCTGAGGAACATACTGGCCCCCTCCAAGTTTACGCTGATAAATTCACAGTAAAATATGACTATTAGAAATTAAAGAAAATTTGAAAAAACAAACAAAAAAATGAAGTAAATAAAAGTAAATAATTTTTTTCCGTGAAAGCAAATTTTCAACTATTACACTATTATTTGAAAGTGAGGAGTAAGCCCCACAAATAAAAAACAATTTTGGTTATTGGACTACTATACTCAAATGTAAATTTGGACACATAACAATTGTTCGAAACAGCAAGGAGCCAGCCTTACATTAGCAGCAGATTCAAATAGGAAACAAACTCAAATGGTTCTTTTGGCCATTGTGGCTGCAGTCAGGCAGTAGTTTATTCTATCACAAACAGAAAAATAGAAAATGCTTAAACTTTCGTCCGAGCATAAAAATATTTTTTTAAATATTTGAACCTGGGAAAACCTTCTTCAATAGATTTGACGTACAATTGTCAGATCTGTAACTCTGGTGATGTTTTACACAATGAAACGTCCTTTTCTCCAATATGAGTTGCAGGCGCAAAATATAGTCGGTCTCTTTCGCTGATGATGATTCTTCTCTAACAGCTGTTTCATGCTTGAACTCTCAATGTGCAACTGTTGCTAAGCTTGCCGTTATTCGCCACAGAAACGAAAGTGTCATAGACTCGTAGCCGTATGTAATGCACTCCGCTTCGCTATCAGTTTATCTTTTCTAAAGCATGGATACTTTTTCCTTGTTCCTAAGTGATAAAGGTATTTCTTTCCGGAATAATTTATTGGGTCTGC